GGGGATGCCTTCAAGCTGGAGTAATCCTTCCCACCATGAAATTCTTCTCTCCTGATTCCCGGGACTAAGGAAAAAGGATAAGAAATATCCAGTCTTCATGTTTAAGAAAAGCAGATAAAATACAGCCAGTGTAGCTGTTCTTCCTCCCCTGCCCTTTTATATAAAGTATTCAATTTTCCCCTAGATTAAGTGTCTAATGAGGGAACTATACACTATGGGCCATAGAATTGCTGACAATTACCACTAAGACAACAAACCTAATGTCTAGTCTAGCTTTCCTTGTGAAGTTAGTCACCCTAAAGTTGTAATCCATAGCATGTATGTATTTCTATTTCACTATAGCTCTTACTAATTTCCCTGGGTGTCACATGCCACCAACGAGTGTATATGAAAAATAGAAGAACGGGCATTTCATGTCAATGCCACTTAAAGAAAAATGTTCATGCTTAAATGAACATTGTATTCAAACTGAGAATTCTGTTTTATAACTGTAAAATGCCTGGTATCGTTGTAACAGCATACTTTAAAGTGTACTAGCTGGGCTCAACAGCACATGCCTGTAATCCTAGCTTTTGGGAGGTAGAGTCAGAAGAACTACATTGCCAGTTCAAGGCCAGCCTGGAAGATATAGTAGGATCTAGTCTCAAAAAAAACTTAACAAAAAGCTACCCTATTTTTAAGACAATACTCCATTTCACACTACTACTTTACATTAAATATTTGTATGGGAAATGATGAATATATCTTTAGCTTATTGCACTCCACCAGAACTCTTTCTAAGGTTCTTGCAGGCTCCAACTTTTCCTGAAGGCTGGATATGGTGGTGGATGCCTGTGAACCCAGCGCTTGGAAGCAAAGACAGATGGATCTCTGTAAGTTTGATAACAGCCTAGCCTACATGGAGAATTCCAGGCCATCCAGGGCTACATAGTAAGACTCTAGCTAATAAAAAAGGAGTTGTGAGATTCAAATTATGTTGCAAGTTATGATATAAAAATTGTGGCTTTCTAAACACCTTAATTTTGTTTTGTTATATATTGTCATTAAACAAATAACTATAAAAACTAAATGAAATAGGAATTCTACTCAGCAGGTAAGTGACTAAGTTAGTTACAGAAGAGAATATTTGCTATCTACCTCTAACAAATTACACATTTCCAAATATTAAAATATGCTTACAGACAAGGGCTAGAGATATAGGTCACTTAGAGGAGTGCTTGCCTAGCCCTCTCAAGGCCGTGGGTTCTGTCTCCAACAACCCATAAATTGGCTGTAGTGGCACAGGCCTGTAAGTCAAGCATTTAGAAGTGGAGGAAGAAGGATCAAATGTACAAGGCTGTCCTCACCTACACAAGCAACTTGAAGTCAGTCTAAGGTATGTAAGACCTTATCTTAAAAAGAAAAAAAGAAAGCTCACAATCTCATTGAATTACAGATCCAGGGCCAGTGAGAGGGCTCAGTGGGTAAAGGTACTTGCCACCAAGTTTAAGGACCAGAGTGGGATCCCTGGGACCCACACAGTGGAAGGAGAGACACACACAACTGACTCCTGAAAGTTGTCCTCTGACCTCCACACAAATGCTGTGGCATGCATCCCCTCTCCCCATACATAATAAATAAACAAACAATAAACAAATAAATGTAATTTAACATAGATTAAAAGCCAAGCCGGGAGTTGGTGGCGCACATATCTTTAATCCCAGCACTCGGGAGGCAGAGGCAGGTGGATCTCTGTGAGTTCGAGACCAGCCTGGTCTACAAGAGCTAGTTCCAGGGCAGCCTCCAAGGCCATAGAGAAACCCTGTCTCAAAAAACCAAAAAAAAAAAAAAAAGCCAGAAACAAATCCATTTCAGGAAAGAAGATTATGGGAGTGACCAATAAACAGAAAATACACAAAAGCCTAACTCATAGGGGGAATGCAAACGAAAGCCACAAGGAACTGCTAATACACACAACAGAATGTCTAGGAGTTTTAAAAGTTGACTATACCAAGTGTCAACAAGATAAGGAACATGTGGGACTCCGAGGCATTGGCAGTGTGAGGGTGAATTGTTCCAACATCTTTGGAAATATTTAGAGGCATATGTCAAAGCAAAACACCCACCTTATTACCCAGAAATGCTAGACATTTAAGAGGCATGAGTTTATATTTCTAAAAGAAATATAATATAATATAATATAATATGAATAAATGAATGTCCATGATCAAACACTAGAAACAATCTAATATCTATCAACAGAAAATGAATTATAAATTGCTATCTGTGGTAGTTTGAATAAAAACGGCCCACATAGGCTCAAAGGGAGTGGAATTATTGGAGATGTGGTCTTAGAGTAAGTGTAGCCCTTTGAGTAGATCATGCCCTTGTTGGAGGAAGTGTGTCATGGGGGAAAGAAGAGGGGTTTGAGGTTTCAGATGCTCAAGCCAGGCCCAGTGTCACAAACGCTTCCTGGTGCCTGAGGATCCAGATGGGGAACACTCAGCTCCTCTCCAGCACCATGTTTGCCTGTGTGTTGCCGGGTTTCCCACCATGCTGGTAACAGACTAAATGTCTAGCTGTGAGCCAGCCCCTATTAAATGCTTTCCTTTATAAGAGTTGCCCTGGTCATGGTGCCTCTCAAAACCTTGACTAAGACATTGTGTGTTTTTATTTTGTATTATTCAATAGTAAAAGCTGTTGAAATACTATAAACATAACACATATGGATCTCAAAAATATATCAAGAAAAAGAAGCAAGGAACAAAGACCCCACGTCTGCACAAGTCCATTCAAACGGGATTCAAAAACTAACAACCCTAATTTATGTGACAGAGACCTGAATGATGTTTAACTGAGCTTAAAGGGAGAGACTGACTATAAGTGGACACAAGGAAACGCTTTGTGTGAGATAAATGGTCCATACTTTGACCTAAAAGTGTGTGTGTGTGTGTGTGTGTTATTGTATACACATTTTAAAAATTATTGAGGGGCTAGTAAGATGGCTGTTCGGGTAAAGGTGTCTTACTGCCAAGCTGATGACCTGAATTTGATCCCTGGAACCTGCTTGGTAGAAGGAGAGAACCAGCTCTGACAAGTCGTCCTCAGATCCCCACACTCATGCACACACACACATAAAATAAGTAAAATGTAAGTTTTTAAAGTTAAATTTATTGAACCCAAACAGCCACAAATCTCAAAGCTCAGGAAGGCAATTACAGGAAGAAGCTTCCCACTTTAAACAGAATGTAGAATTTCAGGGCTGGGGAGACGGCTCAGTGTTAAACGGTAGGTGATGCTCTTGCAAGGACCCAGATTCAGTTCCCAGCACCCAGGTGGCTGCTCACAACCACCCAAAACTCTAGTTTCCAGTGGGCCCAGCACCCTCTTCTGGCCTCTGTGGGCACCAGGCACACATTCAGTGTGATAATGTTCCAGTTGTAAAGACAGAATTCCTGTGAGGTTCCAGCCAGCCTTGCTCAACCATTATCTGTCAGCCACAAAGAAATGTTTGCTACGACAGCCTGTCTTCAGAGATAGCCTATGCTGCTTGAGCCAACAGTCCCAGAAAGGGGACACTACAGAGCCACAGGTAGCTGCCTACAGCTGCATCAGCTTCCTCATTCCCAAGCCCTCAGCTACCTCTAAGAAAGGTCTCAGGCAGCTCTCTCCCTTTGCAGACCCCTCCGTTCCTGTGAGAGAGAGGCGGCCCCTTGCTGTGTGTGCCAATCTGTTGAGGTGGGATTCTGGTCTCTTCCCTGCCTTTTGTCTCTACTCCAGGCTCTGAAATCTAACACAGTGCACTTCCGTATGTGGGCAAAACACTTATATGTACACAAAATAAAAACAAATAATTTAACAAAATACAGAAGTTCCAGGACAGCCAAGGCTACATAGAAAAACTGTCTCGAAAAACAAAAAGTAAAACGAAACAAAAACACCCAGGTTCAAGGCTTCCTTAGGGTTCTATTATAGAATCTTTATAATATACATGCCAATTGTCTACCAAATGTTCTAAAGAGCTTTCAAATTCTCATGATGAGGAACTGGTTCACCTAATGTAACAGTACAGATAAAGCCTGAGAGTCTCCCAAGGGTCTCTGTGTAAAAGGCTGGTCCTCAGGATGGTGGTATTGGTGTTCAAAAGTTGCAATTTGGTGGAAGGTCCTTGGGTCACTGAAAGCACTGCCCCGAAAAGGGATGAAGGTAGCTCTTTTCTTTCCTTTGCTTTTCTTTTTTTAATAAGGTGTGTGGATGTTTGCCTGTGAGTGTATTTGTGCACCATGCATGTGCAGTGCCCTCAGAGGTCAGAAGAGGATGCTGGATCCTCTGGAACTAGAGTTACAGATGGTTGTTAGCTGTCATGCTGGGAATTGAACCTGGGTCTTCTGCAAGAGCAAGTGCTCTTAACTGCTGAGCAATCTCTAAAGCCACACCCCCTTAGCAGTTTTTTTGTTTGTTTGTCTTTTGTGTGTTTGTCTGGTTGGTTGGTTGGTTGGTTGGTTGGTTGGTTGGTTGGTTGGTTTTTCGAGAGAGAGTTTCTCTGTGTAACAGCCCTGGCTGTCCTGAAATCCACTCTGTAGACCTGGCTGGCCTTCAGCTCACACAGATACACCTGCCTCTGCCTCCTGAGTGCTGCCACCACCACCACCCAGCTCCCTTGGCAGTTCTTAAGAGTGTTTTGTTTTCCTCCACCACATTGTCTACAATGAATTAAGAGAGGGCCATAAGAGGAGCAAGACTTTTCCCTCTTCCATTTCTGCTTCCTGGATTTGAGATATGCCCTCCTCTTCCTACACACAGCCCGTTACAATGTAATACCATTCACTTCCTTCAACCGTGGCTAAGTCAATGGTGCTGCCTAATCTTGAACTTCAAACACAGAAAACTATGAGTTAAATAAGCCCCCTTTGCATAGTACCCTGCTTCACGTATTCATTATAGCAGTTAGTCGTCGCATTTCCAACCAGCAAGCCCCTCTGGTTTCCTTTCTTCACTCTGCTTTCTCTTTACCGATTTACCTCCACTACTGACCGCATGAGCTCTTTCTTGGGGCTTTGTCTTGAGCCCCACTCTCTCAGAACGCCTTTTTCATGTGATCCTGTTCATTCTGCCGGCTACTGATGTGCTGAAGATAACCAAAGTCCTAGCTTAGCCAGGCGGCTTCCTGCCCTCTGCCACTGTTTTCCATATGACTCATTCATTTTACTTCCTACATAGCCCTTAGCATAATTCTAATTTATTCCATTATTACTCCCTATTTTTTGTTTGTTTGTTTGTTTTTTGAGACAGATTTCACTGTATAGCTCTAGTTGCCCTGGAACTCACTCCATAGACCAGACTGGCCCCAAACTCACAGATATCCTCCTGCCTCTGCCTCCTGAGTGCTGGGATTAAAGGTGTGCACCACCTCCACTGTCCAGCTGTTAGTCCCTCTTCTTAAAACCTCTTTTCCTTGCCTGAATAGAACCAAAGTCCTGTCTTCCCTCTTCAGTATAACCAGTGCTTTGCATATATGACAGGTGAGAGGCATTCTATACAGAATTTTTAAAAATCTAGATGAACAGCCAGTGGTGGTGACTTATGCCTTTAATCCCAGCACACGGGAGGCAGAGGCAAGAGGATCTCTGTGAGTTCCAGGCCAGCCTGGTCTACAGAGCGAGTGCCAGGATAGGCTCCAAAGCTACACAGAGAAACCCTGTCTTGAAAAACCAAAAAAATAAAAAAATAAAAAATAATAAAAAATAAACCCTCATTGTTGCAACACATGCTAGGGAAGTAGTGATAGGTTTTGCTGACACCAGTCCAGCCTAGAGCAATGCACACAAGGGTTTCCTGGGGATCTGGGTGAAGGTCCTGATTCAGTGTATCTATCCCAAGTTTCTGCTCCTGCAACAATTCCCAGTGATGCAATTCATGAGGATGCTCTTGGTCTATGTGCTGGTTTGAATGAGAGCAGCCTTCATAGGGTCACACATTTGAATACTTGGTCCCCAGTTGGTGGAATTGTTTGGGAAGGATCAGGAGGTGTGGCCTTATTGAAAAGGTGTGTCACTGGGTTGGCCTTTGAGATTTCAAAAGACTCCCACCACTGTCAGCACTCTTTCTTTCTGCCTTGTGGTTGTGGACCAAGATGTCACAGCTGTCTATTTGCTCAGCCACAATGGACTCTAACCCTTTGAAACTATAAAACAATTTCTTATATAAGTTGCCTTGGTCACAATAGAACAGTAACTAAAGGCAGCCTACAACCAAGATTATCAGCAATCCCTGAGATCCTTGTAAGGTATGTGTGAACTAACCCAAACTGCTCAGCTAGACTCTGAGTCAGTGTCTTTTTGGGTTTTTAGTTAGTTTGTTTGTTTGTCTTTTTGAGACAGGGTTTCTCTGTGTAGCCTTGGCTGACCTGGAACTCACTCTGTAGACCAGGCTGTCCTCGAACTCAGAGATCTGCCTGCCTCTGCCTCCTGAGTGCTAGGATTGAAGGTGTGTGCCACCACTGCCCTGCTTCTGAGTCTATTATTAAGCTGATTTCAAATATATTATCTTATTTACACTGTGACTGGTTGGTCTCTCATGATGTAATAAACTCCTATTTATCTGAAAGTTTTTTTGGGGGGGTCTATCCTTCAGATAGAAGTGCCCTCCTTCAGAAGAAATATTTTTAATCTCTTTTTTGATTGCTGTGGTTAAATATTGCCTTCTGGCAGATAAATTTTCTTTTTTTAAAAAAGCCCTAACTATAATGTAAAATAAATTAATAACAAAATACATAATCTGTATTTCAAAATGTAAATGCACTAACATTTATTCTAGAAATCAGTGTGGTAAGGCAACCGATGAATCTGTAAATTGCTTTGGAAAAAAGACCCTTCCATGCAGAAGGATACAGGTGCACTGACAATGACAAAGCACTTGTTGTGAGCTGAGCAAATAAAGCATCCTCTCCCAATGAACATGGTATTGTAGTTACAATCCTAGACAGACCAGAGTGTGCTCAAACTGTGCAAAAATACTTTATATTTAAACATAAAATGGAGTGAGAGTCTACAAGTAATTAGACTTTGAGCTAAGGAAGAGAATCCTGGAATAAGCAGCAGCTTCTTCACAGAGAGCATCTGGGAAGAACCATGGATGGACAGGGAACCCCACTGCATGGCTGGGGTGTTATTAACAGTGTTGGGAAGCCAGAGAAAGCTGATCTGGGTGTGAGAGTGTGTGTGGGGGGGTGAGTTCAATTTTGGACTCACTGAGTTGGAAGACAAACATTAGAAAAATCAGCAGTTGGGAAAGAAAATGGGTATTCTGGGAACACTCTCAGTCCAGAATGGCAATATTAGAAGACAGAAAACATCACTGGAAAAACACACTGAAGCTATATTGTCACGTGTTTGTAGGAGATTAACTTTCTAATGTGGATAGGTCATTGTGGCAGCAATCTTCAAAATATATTAACAGTAGTAAGTCTAGATACAAGTGGGGACGGAGAGGTGGGGTACATGACATTCTGAATCAGTTCTTTTCAAAATGGGGCTCCAAGTTCTGGGGGCCAGGCACCACAGGTGTTGACCTTTGGCAGAGAGAAAGTAGGCCTAACTTTTTTCTTGCTCCCTCCCTTCGTTATCTGAACAACACACTCACACCTGGGCCTCATCACTTCTTTATTAAAAGGTGTTCCATTGTCAGGCAGTAGTGATGCACGCCTTTAATCCCAGCACTTGGGAGGCAGAGGCAGGCAGACCTCTGTGAGTTCAAGGCCAGCCTGGTCTACAGAGCAAGTTCCAGGACAGCCATGGATACACAGAGAAAACCCTGTCTTGAAAACCCAAAACAAACTAACAAACAAAATGCATTCCATTGCTAAATACAAGCTATGTCTCATTTTTGCAGCTAATGATAATTCTTGTTGAACTGTGGCACTGAGAGTGGTTACAATAGTGGTATACAGTCCATAGGTCCTCAAGTGCATGCCTGTAATCACAACACTTGGGATCTGGGGCAGAGAGATCAAGTTCAAGCAAGCCTGGACTACAGAATGAGACTCTTGTCAAAAAATGAAATATACAGGCTGGAGAAATGGTTCACAATTAAGAGTCTTTGCTGCTACCCTTCCAGTGGACCTGACTTTGATACCCAACACCCACATCTGTAATTCCAGCCTCAGGGGATCTGAAACCTCTGTCTTCTGAGGGGGCCTGCATGAACATTATCACACACACACACACACACACACACACACACACACAAACACAGGCACTTAAAAAATAATAAAAAGAAGTCTAAGAAGTAATAAAATCTAAGGCCATGTATGGCGGCACACCTGTAATCCCAAAGGTTTGGAAGCAGAAGCAGAGGATCGGGGGTTTAAGGCCAACCAGCCACATAGAAAGTTTGAAGCCAGCCTGAATGGGCAAAACAGCCACACACACATGGAGAGAGAGAGAGAAAGAGAGAGGGGGAGAGAGAGAGAGAGAGAGAGAGAGAGAGAGAGAGAGAGAGAGAGAGATCTATAAGAACTCTATCACCTTTATATCAGTTATTATTTGTCCTGTAATTGTCCTTACATGCCCACCCCATGTTAATTTTTTAGCAGTTCAATTTAGAGGCAACCAAGATCATATTAGGTCACTGATGTTTGCAACAGCTATTTGTGAAGTCCTTTGAGAAACACAAATTAGCCTTCAGAGAGCCGTGCATGCCATACTGTTGGCTTGGTGTGCTCAGAAGCTGTGTACTTGATTGTATATTCTGGTCACCTAGCCCCATGAATTGAAATTCTAGAAGATTTATTCCACTTAAATCTTCACATGTATAAATCATAACACATGCAAATTATCATGTCTTATGTTTTATACGTATTATAATTTACAGAGTCAAAGCAACTGGTTACATTTTTAAATGCAAGGGTTGATTTTTTTAAAAAAAGAAAGATTTATTTTCTTTTTATCTGTATGTCTGCACGTGCACTTGAGAGCACATACATGCAACAATGGAGTTCAAAAGTGGATGTTGGATCCCCTGGATCTGGGCTACAGGTGGTTGTGAGTCACCCAACCTGGGTGCTGGGAATCTAACTCTGGTCACCTCAAGAATGAAAAGCATTCTTAACTAATGAGCCATCTCTCCAGCCTCAAGGGTTGATTTTTATATTTCATTCTTGCTTATCAGCTTCCTAACTGCACTACTAGAATATGAAAATGTTAAAAGTGTTATCCTAATCCTCTCATCTTTTATTCAGAGAAATTTTATTTTAATAATAGCAAACCGTCTGCAGATGGAGCTAATTGGCAGAGTTGCCTGCCTAGTATGCATGAGGCTCTGGGTTCCATCCCAGAACCCAATGAACCTAGCACGGTGATGCATGCTTGTAACCCTGGGGAGGTGGAGGCAGTAGGATCAGATGTTGGAGGCCATCCTCAGACAGTCCATGAGATCCTATCTCAAAGAAAGGAACGAGCAGACAAGAAAAGAAGAGGGCCAGAGAGACGACTAAGAGGTCCAGAGCCCCCTGGCTGTTCCCCCAGAGCACCTGGGTTCAACTCCCATCACCAGCACGGTGGCTCATCCCCATCTATAACTTCAGTTCCAGGGCATCCATCCAATGCTCGCTTCTGGCCTCTTCAAGCACCAGTCACACACGTGGCGCAGATGTGCATGCAAGCAAAACACGCGCACACACATAAAATGAAATAAATAGTAGCATGCAGGTGTGTGTTTGTTAGGACAGCCCAAAACACCTCTGCCCTGAAGTGAAGATCCACAAAGCAACAGCCACTCCACGTGATGGCTTTTAAACTGTGGGTCACATAACTCAGTGTGGGGGTTCCTAGGACCTTGGCAGCAACAAAACAGTTTTGAATGTGTACTGACCACAAATTAGGTCAGTTTGGTTTGTTTGTTTGTTTTTGTTTTGAGACAGGGTTTCTTTATGTAACCCTGGCTGTCCTGGAACTCAATCTGTAGACCAGGCTGGCCTCAAACTCACAGAGATCCACCTGCCCTCAGGAGTGCTGGAATTAAGGGTGTATGCTACCACCACCCAGCTTTTTTTTTTTAATATAGACAATTTTCTCCTTTTATGGGAATATAGTAGTTTAATTATGGAAAATAAGACTTTTAATATTTTCCTACCATCGTCCCTCAGCGTGTGATAAGTTGGTCTATCTCTGGACTGGATTAGATTAGAAGGTATATATATTTTTAATTGCTGTTTGAGGGTTGGGTGGCTCAGCAATTAAGAGCACTTGCTGCTCTTACAGAGAACACAGTTTATTGGTTCCCAGTGGCCCACATCAGGTAGCTCCAGCTCCCGTGGATCTCACGCCCTCTTCTGGCCCCCACATGCACTGCACTCACATATACATACACACACAACATAATGAAAAATAAAAATAATTTGGAAAATTGCTGTTTGAGTTGCTGAATTAAACCATTAAGTAAATTTTGACTTGGGATTAAACAATAAATTCTGAAATTGCCCTCAATACACATTGGCCATTTTGTTCTACATGGTTATATGAAATAGTGTTCTCAGTATTGATGACTCTAAAATAAAAATGTCAACCAATCAAGTCTGAAAAACATTGACAATAGTCTGTCCT